CAAATTGTCTGTTAGTTAAATTTTATGCAAAACGTACAAACTGGAGTGGGAGAGTATGAATACCATAAAATACATTTTAGATTTTTCAGATTTATATTCTATAATAAATAGGCAATAAATTGATTCTATACAATTGACAGCCAGAGTTGGCTGGTTTTCTATGGCTGTTTAGTAGGGCGGATGGTTGTGTTGGCCGCATTTGATGGTCACGTCGTGGTCTTGCACGGTGACCACCCGGGCCTTGCACTTGTGGGCCCCTGCCCGAGCGCAGGACCAATAGGTTTTCGATCCCGTGGACTTGTTTCGGGTGAAGGTGAACTCTCCTATCTTCAGCTTGCGACTCCCGCGAAAGCCAGTGATATACGAGTAATACGAGACGGAATCTGTGAATGGAATGTAAAAAAGTAGGATTAGTTCAGGCGGCACGATGAGTAGCTCACAGATCTAAAGCTAGAAGGCAGAGAGACGCAGGGGAACCATACACTTATCTAAAATGAACTTTATTGAGTCAGACGAAAGTTGAGGTGATGCTATAATATACAATTTGGCTTAAGACTAGCATGCTAGGTCGCCGTTTCCGGCGCTGTCGTGGCGGCGGTCTCCAAGGGGTCCTGCCGACGCTCCGCACGGGCCGCTGCCTCAGCTTCCGCCCGCTGACGCTTCAAAGAGCCGTACTTTCGCGCCTTGGTTATGACCTCGTGGTTGTGCTCGCTGTTCAGGATGGTCAGGGTGTCCAGTTTGGTCTTGAGCCGCGCTCGACACCGCAATACTGCGAACTGAAAGGAAACCCATATTAAGAACTTATACAGATCTATGTTTGGTTCATTCCAGGGGCATTTCCTCAAAAGTTGATATAAGATGGATATTACTTAGAATTCAGTATATTATAATTAAAGGTGTGCGAACATTAAGATTAACTAGGTTTTTTCAAGGTTGTTTTAAACTCAGATAAGTGGGCTTTACTTATACCAACTAAGATAGTTTATTTGTCTCTTCATAACTAAGATAATGCGTTAAAAGTCTCTATTTATTTTACCAAAAAACTCAAAATGAAAAACTAATAGCAAATGATCGTCAAACGCTGTGATTCAGAAATATCTTTTAATTAAAAGTAAAATCTCGGAATCCCAGAAACCACTTTGATATAAGATTTTAATCTAACCAACGATTTGCCTGAACAACAATGGTTCCCATGGACTTTTCTATATAGAACTATACAAAATAATTACTTATAAATTCTTGGACACTACAATAAAATCTAAAAATGACAAAAATTGAATGTTTATGTGTAAGATACCGCGTGGGAACCGTCAGAATATTAATCAAAACAATCGGACACCTAAACCTATAGCCAGATTTCGATCACATCTTATGAAAAAGGAGTCCATAAAGTAAGGAATACGGTCCCTGGGGAATCCACTCACCTGGCTGCAGCGCCAGTAGGTGACGTCGTCCCGGCAGATGTGGCGGTTGAAGGTGTGCTGCTTGAGCATGATCTGCTTGGTGCCGTACTTGCTGACGATGAAGAAGGGCGAGTTGCTGTTGACCACTCCGGCGGCGGAGGCGGAGGCCAGCTGCATGGTGGCCTCGCCCACGTCCACGCTGACCTGGTAGTCGTACTTGGCTACAACGAAGGGAGATAGGAGGAGTTTTAGTTGGACATAGTGACTGGGGGATTAGGGCAATAGGAGTTCAGCAGAGAAAATAAAACACTGGGGATTGCTTTCATGGTTTTCGGTATATTGTACATTGTGGTTTCGGCCTATATCTACATACACATCCTACTTCCTAAGGGCACTGCGCACAGTGCTTGGCGTGGTCGTGGTGCCTGGTGAGCCGAGGCCGCCGGCTCAGCTCCACAAGGACGTAGTAGGCCGGGCAGTTCCTGGTCAGGCAGTGGAAGTAGGTGCGGTACTGCATGGCGCGCATCTTCTTGTAGGACTTGCCGCTGACCATCAGGAACTCACCCTGGGCGGTGCGCTTCAAACGGACGCCCTCGTTCTGGTCTTTCGCTGAAGGAGATGAAGGATGGGTTTGAATGATATGTGAGATGCGAGGTGACACATGAGCAGACTGAGCTTAATCCAAGTATTACATGCAACTAAATTGTCTACAAATCTCGATGTTGTTTTGGTTTTGGCTAATCTCTCTTTAATATTGTGGATAAAAGGCATCCTTGGGCATCAGTTTTGCGGGCACATTGGCACCAAGAAACCGAGGCGGATGGTTGTGGGCATTCTTCCCCAGCTTGATGCCTCCATCGAACTTGGTGATGGCTCTCGCAGAGCACTTGTTCTCGTTCAGCCGCTTGCCATTCCCGTCGGAGCAGATCCAGTTGACCGTGGCCCGGAAACTGGCCTCCTTCTTGTACATGTAGCCATTGAACACCAGGTTGAAGCCCTGTTTCTGGTTCCTCAGGAAGAAGTATTCGTGTTTGTCGATCCACTGGCCCCGCGGAATATCCCCGATGAACTGACCTGCAATAGAGGAGGCAAGGCAGCTGGATTTATTACCCGGACATCTTGGAAACGAACATATAACCCAGAGAAAAACACATGGAGTTTTGGGGTGCTGAGTAATCCGTTTATTGCAGGCAATTCCCGATACAGTCTACTATTTATAGCCGCTTATTTATATCGCTTGGGGGAGGGGTTATCTTTTGGTGCCATAAGGCGTTTGATATTTTGCTATTTTACTATAAGGTTTACTTCCTTCATAGGGGCGAAATTCTTTGTTTGGCATCAAGGAAGACTCACCTGGTGTTCAAAGCACTTTACACTCTAATTGGTCGACTTAGGATGGTTTCGAAAAACCACTTACATCTTCACAAAAACACTGGGACCTTTTATTTAAAAAACACATCCTTTGTGGCATTTTTTTGGAGGGATTCCTTTTTGAGACACCAACAACAACAAAGATGCCACTTCGCTGCACACACACAAACAACCGCACAGGCACTCACACACACACTCGTGGCAGGTTTGCAGGATAACTTACGGATTTCCCACTACTCACTTTTACTGCCTTTTTTTTATTTATGCACATTTGAGCAATTGCACTTTGCTAACGATGGACAAACAAATTGTTTCCGCGGCTTTTTCGACTGGTTCCACTGGCTGTGCAGCACGATCTGTTGCCTTGTTTGTGTTTTCCTTTGCGAATTGGAATCAAAATCCTCTGGAGAAAACGCTTTTCTTTCACAGCGGGGATTCCACCAACACTATGCACTTATTCCGGGATGTTTCCCTTTTTTATTGCACCTTTTGTTTAACAATTTAACAATTTGCTAAATTCGCTTGCATTTTTTTCACAACCGTGCTGTGGCGACATTTTTGCAGAGTTGCCGGATCAAGCGTACAAATCCAGGGCTGCAACAGCGTGAGTACAGTAGCTACTGGTGAGGCCAGATGTATCGTATATATGAATTATTAATTTATTATTGTCATTTATTATAGCCAAGTAACTCTTAATATATAATATCTGTAAAATAATAAAATATTTCGAATAAAACTTTTTGTTGTCCCAAGTAAAGGTTACTTAAGTTAAGCTATACAGAAAACAGAAAAAAAGCAAATTTGGTAAATTTTACTAGAATGTATCTTATTAATTTAACAAATGTTTTGGATTTATTAATATTACATATGAAGACTTGATTTTGTTCAAGAAACATTTGAGTACCCCCCCAAAGTCTCACTGTACCTCCAGTGCAACCCTGGTTATCTGCTGCCATATCATTTCTTTTTGGCTTTACTCTGTGACTAAATTTTACAAAAACAAACACAAACAAAAACAAAACAAAACAGCAAAGCAGAAGAGGCACACCAGTACGGGCACACCAAAATGTTGGCAGCGATAGCCGAGACACACACCTGACATTTGCGGGCGACCGTATTCGAAATACTGCCGAAATATATGGTATTTCCCCTGGTATATACCGAAATATAACGACGGTACGGTCTCACCAAAATGTTGGCAGCCATAGCCGAGACACCCTCCTAACATTGGCGTGTGACCGTACTTTTGCGCAGTTTTGAGTACATAGTATCGATAGAATGCCTCCCATCTCTAAAGTACAGTGCTCTTCTTCTTTGAACCGTGTTTTTCTGCATTAAAATATTTTATTTCTACTATTTGTACAATTTTCCTGCTTGTAAACCAATAAAATAAACAAGAACCAGCAAAAGACCCTCCTCAGTTGTTTTATTTTCGTTTTTCGCCCGAAAAGCCTGATCTCGCCCAGATGTTCTAACCTGTTGCGTTTGTTTCTCCCATCGACAGCCGCCACATCCGCATCTGCATCTCGCATCCCACCACGTAAACGCGGCAGGCCGAAGACCAAGGTCGAGGACCTGACGCCCAAGCCGAAGCTCCTGGACAAACTGCAGGCGGCGACCTTGAACGAGGAGGCCAGTGAGCCGGCGGTGTACGCCTCCACGACGAAGGGTGAGTCCCCATCCTGGCGAGGGTCCTGCTCCTGGGCAATCCCCAAGCTAATTCCGTTCTACACCCGCAGGCGGCGTCAAGCTCATCTTCAATGGCCACCTGTTCAAGTTCTCGTTCCGCAAGGCGGACTACTCGGTGTTCCAGTGCTGCTACCGGGAGCACGGCGAGGAGTGCAAGGTGCGCGTGGTGTGCGACCAGAAGAGGGTCTTCCCCTATGAGGGCGAGCACGTCCACTTCATGCAGGCCAGCGACAAGAGCTGCTTACCTTCGCAGTTCATGCCGGGCGACTCGGGAGCCATATCCACGATGTCCTCCAACAAGGACACCAAGGTGGAGCTGCTGATCAAAAACACCACGAAGCTGGAGGACTCCGACGCCAAGGAGGACGAAGACTTCGAGGAGTTTGAGATTCAGGAGATAGACGAGATCGAGTTGGACGAACCGCTGCCAGAGAAGACGGCATCCAAGGAGGAGGAGCAGGTGGACCCCAATGATTTCCGTGAAAAGATCAAGCGACGCCTCCAGAAGGCTCTGCAGAGCAAGAAGAAGTGACACTAAATACGCCTTAAACTTCAAATTATACTTTCTATATTTACTTGAGGACAAGGAGGTGGACTACAATGGTTTTTCCGCCTCTAGAGGCTCTGCAGAGCAAGAAGTGGCACTAAATACGCCTTAAACTTCAAATTACACTTTCTATATTCACTTGAGGACAAGGAGGTGGACTCCAATTATTTCCGCGTAAAGATCTAGCGACGCCTACAGGAGGGCCTGCAGAACAATAAGAAGTTACACTGAATATGCCTTAGAGCTCACATTATACTTTCTATATTCATTTGGGTTTTAAACACCCCTACCAAGTACTAAATAATTAAGTTTTTCGTAATAAAACGATGTCAATAAATCAGATCTTCAACTAAAACATTTCAATAGATTATAAGCTCTAACTCCGTAATACTTAAATGTACTCAGAACCCATTCAACCGATAAATAACCAAAGCTTTTTCATGTCTTTCAGTTACACAACACGTCCGCAACTGTGGTCCGCAGATGTTCCTGATCAGCCGCAAGGGCGGCACTCTGCTGACCATCAACAACTTTGTCTACCGGTCCAATCTTAAGTTTTTCGGGAAGAAAAATGATATTCTGTACTGGGAGTGCGTCCAAAACCGATCGGTCAAGTGTCGCAGCCGCTTGAAGACCATCGGAGATGATCTCTATGTAACCAATGGTTTGTCAAGTGAAACAAAAACGTAAAAGCGAATAATGCTTTACTTCTGTAACCACAGATGTGCACAACCACATGGGCGACAACAAGCGCATTGAGGCGGCCAAGGCGGCTGGGATGCTGATCCACAAAAAGTTGAGTTCCCTCACGGCCGCCGATAAAATCCAGGGCTCCTGGAAAATGGAGAGCGAGGTCAATCTGGACCAGCTGCCCAAGATGTAACCGCTTCTCGACATTCCCACCCAAACGTCCGAGTTCTGTTAAGGCTAAGCTAATGTATTTCACTATTGTTCTTGCAAAGTATCTTTCTTATTTAGACTGAGTGTCCCGAGCCTAGTTAGGATGGGTAAGTAGCCTGTTAATATGGGATCTCACAGTACTTTTTTGTAATTCGCGAAGTCCCGGGTCATATTATTTATTCTGTTCTTATTGCTTAGACGCTTTTGGCCACGGCACTGACTTAAGCAATGGCTTGAGTTACGTAGAAACTATGAACTTGTAATAAAATCAGATGAACATCTAAACGAGTTGCAATTAAATGATCTCGCTTACGATTCAAGAGTATTTTTCCTAATTGAATCTCTTAATAGACAATCTTTTAAACATTATTCTTCTGTAATCGCTTGCTACTGGGTTACATTAAATTTTTGCGCTAAGACTAGCAATATTTAAATATCTTGTCGCATACATATTAGAAATCAATCGGCAAAAATATATCCCATTATAATTTATTTTTATGGTTTGATTATTCATGATTACGATTATATCTAGTAATCTAATTTATTTTTAGTTTTACTTAAAAATATTTAATTTTGCGCTTAAGAATATCTGATCTTTCCAAGAAATGCGTAATATAAGAGTTGTTTTTTTTTTGGTAAGCTATTGTTTGTCTCCTCAAATTAAGAAATAGTTCTACATTTTTCCAATTCATTGTAAACACGTTTTGCCTTTTATGATGAAGCTTGGTGATATTACTGAGCACTAAAAGTTGGAATATTCTGAGATCGCATCCAGAGGATTTAAATCTCTTAGCTTCAACGTGAGATTGATAATCAAGAATCGTAGGCCCTAATCGGTAGTGATCCAAGGCATCTTTAGACTGCCCAGCTTGGTCCTGACATTGTTGTGGTTGTGCGAGGAGCAAGTGCTTCGGTATTTTACCTCGGAGTCCACCATAAATGTGGAAGCTCGGGCCTTACAACCCTTATGGTGATACATGCATCGCCAGGATCCGATTAGGTTATCCTTTCCCAGAATTCGATGGACGATAAAATGTTCATTGGCTATAATCAGCTTCGGACGCCTGTGGGCAGCCAGATTGAACTCCGCGGGCCCGTCGTATTGCTGGCCCTTTCTCGAGTAACGCCGACGACCTGAAACAAATTAGAAAATCTCGTGTCAGAAAATTATATTGATAACATGCACAAAGATAATTTTAAAGCTAGCGTTAGTGGTTAAAACAGTATACAAGATTTTTCTATTATCATTTATTTCTTTTTGTTTCGTTTTGTAAAGTGCTTAAATCTATCAGGACTTAAACATCGTTTCACTTAGCTTAGATTCAGGTGGCTCGATTTGCAGTATGTAGTCTTTGGACTATTATAAACTTACCCAAAAAATGTATATATTGAAAAATATAGTTTTTGATTTGTGATGCTATTCAATTTTTGTAGGTGTACAAATCATATGGCACCGGTCATTATTGTTATAACTAGCTAAATTAAGAAGAATTAAAGTGTGTTTAAATTTTGTCTTTAAAAGCCTACATTGTTTGCGCGTAGTTTTGCAAGAATATTGATTGAAGACCTTCAGATAGTGGCTTACAATTGTCCGAAGACTACAAAAAAGATGCTCCATCGCTCACCGTAGCATAGGTACTCTACATCGACATAAGTTCAAAAATCTATTCAAAACCACAGACATTGGTGAGCCCACAGCCCAGGGGGCTAGTAGTCCTTGCTGATGAAGACGGCGCCGTGGGCCTGGTGCTGCTGCATCAGAGCCATCATTTGCGGCGTCTGCACGTGGGGCAGGGAGAGCGGCATCGCCAGTGACATGGAGACGGGAACAGGTACCGTCACCGGCATGGCCAGGTGGGTGGGAGCTGTGGCGTACGTGGGCGTGGGAATCGGCGCCACCTGGGTCATCATCTCCACCGTAGATGTCGTCGAAGTGACGACGGGGTTCGGATTGGGTGTTGGATTCTTGGTCGCCGGCAAGGTGCCATTTGCCTTGGCCTGGCAGTAAAGCTGGCACAGCGGCAGAAGTTCCTTGTGGCGTCTCTTGATATGGCTGAGGAAGTTTCCCGTGGACTTGGTGGTGCCGGAGATCAGTCCAAAGCAGGTGGTGCAAGTTGCCTGGATGGCGCCTGGCGTCTTCTGGTTTGGCTGGATGTTCTTGTAGAACTTACCGTCCAGAATCTTGGGCAGGGTGAAGGGTTTCCGGAACGACTCATCGTCGCTCAGGTAGGTGACGGCCAGGGCGGCCACAGCAGCATCCGTTGGCTGGGCAGGCGTGGGCGAAGGCTCCATTTTGATCTCAACTGCAAGATTATAAATGTCAGAAGTTAGTAGGGAGTCTAAAGTATTCTAAAGCTAAACTAAGTGTAGAACGAACACGCATAACTACAAATTTTGTACACATTTAGTTTAATTTATTTAGATTAGGCTAGGTCTGTAGTCTAGGAAGTAAATTAGATGGCTGCCTACTGCAGCTCCGGAAACTCGTCCAGCAAGTCAGCCGAGAGATCCATTGAGCTGACCTCCGGGCCGTGGGTGTGTGGAGCGCCAGCGATGCGCAGGGTGACATCCTGTATCTTGGAGGTCACCAGGGTGGCCCGGCAGCTGTGCTTCACGTACCGCGAGCACCGCCAGAAGACGTTCTTCAGGCTCTGGCGGTTTACCACGTACCGATAGCCCTCGAAGACCAGCATCACCCTGCCCCGCTGCGTGGTGGTGTACTGGATGCTGGCGCTGGTGGTCTTGTCCTCGAAGAGCGCCTTCAGTGATTGGATGACACCTGAAATGGGAGAGGAGGAGGAGGTTCACAGACATTAGTTGGGGTTATTTTTGGAGTTCCCGCTGTGGTAACTAGCTATTGCACAAGAGGTGGGAGGAGAAGTTCTGTTACAGGCATTTATTTTCAGTTTAGAAACGCAACAAATAATATAATCTACTGCCCGGGCTTGACCACCATGACTTTAAGAGTGGACAGCTTGTGGTCAATGAACTGCTGGACTGCGGATGAGGTAAGCTGTTCTCCGCGCAGGGCAAAAACTTGGCACACATGGGCTGCAAAGATATGATGTGATACGGGTAAGAGTTACGGGTAAAGCCTCTATTATGTACTTATGACGTCCTGCAGCAGATCCTTGTCGGTGGCCTCGTTCCGCTGGGCCATGAGCGCCAGCTTCTCCTTGCCAATCACCAGATCCATCACCCGGAACGTGTAGATGGCCGGCATGGGGATGTAGGCTTTGGCCAGAGCAGCCTTGGACACAAAGAGGCGACTGCCGTCGAACAGGGGAATGGCATCCTCATCGCGGGGCGGTTTTTCCGTCCCATCTGTGACCGGTTTCTTGGAGTTCTCCACGGGCTTGGGCACCTCAGTGTCCTCCTTTGGGACTTCTGCAATGGCACATTATGGCAAAAACAATCAATACTTTTTGCTTTTAGACCACCGAAAACATAAACAAAATAAAACACAGTTCATGCGGTTCTTCAAAGGGGACTTTATTTCGTTTAAATTATTAAGCATTCCCCTACACTTGCAGCACATTTCAGCCGGGGGTGTTTTCTGGGCAGTATGCCCTATTATTAATCACTTTCATTGCTCAATTTCACACAAAAAAGCCTTAATTATTTATTTCAGCACGCCCACGAGTCAAAAGAAATGATATGGCAGCAGATAACCAGGGTTGCACTGGAGGTACAGTGAGACTTTTGAGGGGGTACTCAAATGTTTCTTGAACAAAATTAAGATGAAGACTTGAAGATGTAATATTAATAAATCCAAGACATTTGTTAAATTAATAAGATACATTCTAGTAAAATGTACCAAATTTGCTTTTTTCTTTACTTTACACTAAAGTAACCTTTACTTAGGACAACAAAAAGTTGTGTTCTAAATATTTTACTTTTATTACAGTTTGAAATATATTTTTAATAATAATTATAATATTAAGAATTCCTTGGCTGGAATAAATGATAATAATAAATTAATAATTTATATATACGATACATCTGGCCTCACCAGTAGCTACTGTACTCGCGCTGTTTCAGCCCTGGATTTGTAGGCTTGATCCGGCAACTCTGCAAAAATGTCGCCACAGCACGGTTGTGAAAAAAATGCAAGCGAATTTTGCAAATTGTTAAATTGTTAAACAAAAGGTGCAATAAAAAAGGGAAACATCCCGGAATAAGTGCATAGTGTTGGTGGAATCCCCACTGTGAAAGAAAAGCCCGCCTCCCAAAAAATGGCGCTTGAGTTTCTTGTGATGAAGAAGAAAAAAAACCCAACGACGCCTCCTCCAATTTCAGTAAAAGTATTGCAAATATTGTGTACAATTGTTAAGAAAAATGTGAAATTGCAATGCAAATGCAATGTTAATAAAGTACAGAAACTATGGCGGCGCAGGCATATATTATTTGGCGGATCATCTTGGGCTGTCCAGTTGTCAGAGCCTCCTAATCAATACCCGTTCCTCCCACTCCAAATTGTGTCTTGCAGACGAACTGGAGGATGACTTCAAAGTGCACCTCCCCCTGCTGGTTTCCAGGAAGAGGAAGACGCTGGCCAGCCACCGCAAGCAGAACTTCGACCACCTGGAGGTGAGCTTCACGAGGAGCAATCGGGGCAACAACCTGCTGACCATCGACGGGAAGCCCTTTACCCTCAACCGTCGGATCAAGGACGTCTGCTACTGGGAGTGCGTCAAGCTGCGCTGCAAGTACATCAAGTGCTCCGCCCGCGTGGTGACCAAGTCCAATCGGATCTCGGCTCTTCGTGGGCTTCACAACCATCCATAAGTTACGAACTACCTGTGCCATCTCATTAGTCCAATAAAGGTGTTTCCGTTGAGCAAAAAGCCATCTTCAGCCTCTCCTGCCGTTGTAGTTTCTGTAGTGTCCCTAAGACAATCACAGGAGGCCTTTTCACTAATCTCTCCCACTCCTTGCAGCCTGCTATCAACTGGTGGCCAATCGCCGTGGCGGTAAGAACCTGATCTATCAGGGGCACATGTACTCCGTGGAGCGCAAGTACCGGAACAGCATCAACTGGGTCTGTTCCAAGAACAGCAACAGTTCGCTCCGCTGCCCGGCGAGATGCGTCACCAATCCGGAAAATAGCACCGGCATCAAGCTGAGCCACCGGCACCACAACCATCCGGCGGATTCCTTCAAACTGCACAAGCGGAGTCGGAAGCGACCTGGCAAGAGGAGCAGCAGCTAGCCATGCTCCTAATCCTGGATCGACAATTGTTAGTTTAAGCTAATTAGTCTTAATGTAAATCTCTTTGTTATCACATTGTTACATTTTGGTGAAAGGAAACACTACTCA